GGAGGGAAGAGGGTGGGAGGGAGGAGAGTCTTAAGCAGGCTGCATGTTCAGCATGGAGCCAGAGGTTGGGCTCGATCCCACGACCCCAGAATCATGACCTGAGCTGAAATCAAGAGTGGGACGCTCCACCGACCGAGCCGCCCACGTGCCCCCAGAGCACAGGCGCTCGCACGTCAGGGCCTCACCGCCTGCTGCTCTGAATACTGGCTAAGGGGCTCCTACCTTGTAGTAGTTCTCGTCAGCGCGGAGCGCTTTGGAAAGTCCAAAGTCGCTGATCTTGGCATAGTGTTGAGTCACCAGCAGGACATTTCTTGCAGCCAGATCTCTGTGCACAAAATTGCTCTCCTCCAGATACTTCATCCCCATAGAGACCTGATGAACCAGCTCTATGATGTTCTTATCCTTGACGTGCCTGAAAGTTACAGACGTGTCATGAGTGATAGCGGACCGTGGTCCATCTGGGAACAACCAGCCATGCTCCTCAGGTAGGCGTAGGGATGCACTCGTTCCCGATTGTTCTTAAGAGTAACAAGAGGCGACAAAAACCTTGTTAAACTACGGCTGCTCAAAACCGAGCACCACTACCCTGGTATGGGACCCATATGCTTTTCAAGGGGCGCTGTGAATTGCATGAACCGTAGTGCAGTGGGGTGGGCAGACCCGACTGCTGAGGGCCAGGCTTTGGTTGGAATCCTTGTCCCAATATCGGACACGTAACAAAACCAACTCGGAGTCGCAGTTTCTTACCTGGGAAGTGAGGCCAATGGCGCCTCCCTTCTCTGCCGATTAAAGACACAATCTAAGCAGAGTACAAATGCAGTGTAGCAAACGGGACAGAGTAGTCGGTGCTTGTTCTCATGACTTATTCCACGTGGTGGATGGCGTAGATGACGCCACTGACGGTTGTAACCCATCAACAGCAACAGACATTTTCAGAATTATTTGTGAGAATGTAGAGGTCAGCCACACACGTAAGGCATCACTATTTGCCCCTTTACAAATGTTGATTTGGCGGTGCCTGGGTGGCTCAGTCGGTTAAGCCTCTGATTCTTGGTTTCGGCTCAGGTCATGATCTCAAGGCTCATGGGTTTGAGCCCTGCATCAGGCTCTGTGCTGACAGCATGGAGCCTCCCTGGGATTCTCTCTCTGTCTCTGCCCCTCCTCCTCTCTGTCTCTCAAAATAAATCCACTTAATATTTATATATATTAAGTTTATTTTAATATTCTTCTCACAAGGTAGGGCACGTTCTGCCCAGTGAGGGGAGACGGCTTCAATGGCTGACTCTATCCCTGGGCAAGTCAGAGTGAGCGAAGGAGAGTGAAGACCCAGTTGTTGGGCTGGAGTTTCTCTTAGCACAATAAGGGTGAAAAGAGCACTGGATCCGGAGACTACAGCTCTCTCCCCTCCCCCCTCCAGGTCACTGAGTGTGGGCCAACCCAGGAAGACAGAGCTTCCCAGGGCAAGCGGGCTCTCATGTGCACTGGGCGTCAGGCCCCAGCACACGCCAGCTTCTGGGGCACATGCAGTCACCTGTTCTGCTGTAAATACTTGTTGAGTGGACCCAGCTCCGCCATCTCCATCACCAGCATCCACGACTCGGCCTCACAGATCCCAATCATCCGCACGATGTAAGGGTTATCGAGCTGCTGCATGACGTTGGCCTCTGCTAATAGCTCATCCTTGAGAGCGGGGTCGTTAGCCTCGTTCTTCAGAATTTTCACAGCCACCGTTTTCACGACTCTACAAAAGAAATCGTAACACATAAGAGACTTTTCAAAGTGGCGGACTTCTAGGTAATAAACTTCCACAGAGCAGAATTGCTCTGTTAGAAATGGTGTTCTGAAAATATCTGCAACCATATTCCCTCATTTTAGAGACAGTCACATTTCATTATTAAAGGGGGGTGCTGAAGAATGCCACCCCCCAAGCACAGCCTAAATATTATAAAACAGAAATAGCTTTCAACTAAACTTTACTAACCAGGACATGCATGGATTCCTATAACATCTTCAGATTTACTCTCTCAGGTGATCTGTAACTTATGTGAATACAACATTCCTTTGATATATGTTTAAAATGAATCTCTGGATGCAGAATTGAAAAGCATACACCGTGAAAGCTCATCATTTACAAAACACTTTTTAAAACCGAGAACTGGGGCACCTGGGTGGCTCAGTTGGTTAAGCGTCCAACTTTGGCTCAGGTCATGATCTCACAGTTTGTGGGTTTGAGCCCCGTGTCGGGCTCTGTGCTGACAGCTCAGAGCCTGGAACCTGCTTCAGATTCTGTGTCTCTGTCTCTCTCTGACCCTCCCTGCTCACTCTGTTTCTCTCTCTCTCTCTCTCTCTCAGAAATAAATAAAACATTAAAAAAAATTTAAAACCGAGCACTGATGCTTTGAAGCTTGTTGAAGCTTGTTTGAAGCTTCAACAAGTTTGTAAAAAATTAACTGTTTTTCATTTTCTCATGAAAACATCACATAGGTCACATTTAACCTCCTGAAATTTTCTGATAGTGGAACTGAAATAAATGGATGGAGCTTAACTGTGGAGGATTTAGAAAACTGCATTTGACTAATTCCCACACATGCAGGAAGTAAACCTCATTTGCTGAAGCCCCAAATGGGAGAATAAAAACAGAAATGTCCCGTAAAACAGGTAAAATGAGAGAATACCAGAGTAAGTCTAACATACATTCAGAAAAACAGACACCTTCTGTGTAGACCTTAACAAGTGTTTCCACATTGAACACACGCTGTAGTTCCTACAACCCCCAGACCCCCCAGAGCCTCCCTCACCCTCCTGCAATCATAGCATATCTCCCTATCTTGTTTCTAGAGAGTTTATCATTGTACCTTTCTGCATTCCAGTCCACCATCCATCTGAAATGGGTTTGTGTATGATGTGAGGTAGGGATCAAAATGAACGGGCAAAAATCTCGTGGGTCTTCCCAATGTTTAAGGAAGAAAAACTACCCACAATCTCTTCCAACCCCCAACTCATTTTAGGAGGCCAGCATTATCCTGATGCCAAAACCAGGCAAAGACATTCCAAGAAAATAATCTACTGAAATCCCTCATGAACACAAATGCAAATATTCTAAGAGAAGTATTAGGAAATTAAATTCAGTGATTTATGAAAAGGACAGAAGGAATATATAATTCACGGACAAGATGTGTGCGTTCCCCATCTTGTTGGCTTTAACGTCTGAATGTGCAGTGACTTTAACATCCAAAAATCAATCAGTGCACTTCACCACATAAATACAATAAAGGAGAAAAAACATAAGGTCATTTCACCAGAGGAAAACAAGTACTCAAGAAACTAATACACATGCATGATTACAAATAAATCTCTCAGATAAGGAAGGACTGATGGAAACTTTCCTAATCTAACAAAGGACAGCTACAAACCTAACAGTGAAGTATTAAAAGTATCCCTACTGCACGAAATCAAGAATGAGAAATGAGGTTACTTCCACATTTGTTAAACATTTAAACCACAACTACGGGCTAATACAAGGCAAGAAAGAAATATCGAAATCTAAGGATTAGACTGTGTGAAATAAAACTGCTTTTACTCAGAGATGACACATTTTGGGTCAAAGAACACACCATTAGTGACTAGAAATGATGTGAGGGATGCTGAGTATCAAGTCAGGAGATAAAACTGATTCTATTTCCACATCCAAGCAACACTGCAGATTAGCAGATGAAATTGTAAAAGCTGTCCCATATACATTCACATCTAAAATATTAAATGCCTACAGATGAATTCAACAAAATGTGTAAGACCTCAACCCAGGAAACTACACCCTATACAGAAGCTACACCCTACACAGGAAACTACAACCCACACAGAAAACCACAATCCACACAAGAAGCTACACCCAACACAGGAAGCCACACTCAACAGAAAACAACACCCTACACAGAAAACTACACCCAACACAGAAACTACACCCAACACAGAAACTACACTCAACACAGGAAGCTACACTCAACACAGAAAACTACACTCAACACAGGAAACCATACTCCACACAGGAAGCTACAGTCAACACGGGAAACTACACTCAACACAGGAAACTGCATTCCACACAGGAAGCTACACTCAACACAGAAAACAACACCCTACATAGGAAACTATACTCAACACAGGAGGCTACACTCAACACAGGAAACTACACTCCACACAGGAAGCTACACTCAACACAGGAAGCTATAATCTGCACAGAAAGGTACACTCAACACAGGAAGCTATAATCCGCACAGAAAGCTACACCCTACACAGGAAACTATACTCAACACAGGAGGCTACACTCAACACAGGAAACTACACTCCACACAGGAAGCTACACTCAACACAGAAAACAACACCCTACACAGGAAACTGTACTCAACACAGGAGGCTACACTCAACACAGGAAACTACACTCCACACAGGAAGCTACACTCAACACAGGAAGCTATAATCTGCACAGAAAGGTACACTCAACACAGGAAGCTATAATCCGCACAGAAAGCTACACCCTACACAGGAAACTATACTCAACACAGGAGGCTACACTCAACACAGGAAACTACACTCCACACAGGAAGCTACACTCAACACAGAAAACAACACCCTACACAGGAAACTGTACTCAACACAGGAGGCTACACTCAACACAGGAAACTACACTCCACACAGGAAGCTACACTCAACACAGGAAGCTATAATCTGCACAGAAAGGTACACTCAACACAGGAAGCTATAATCCGCACAGAAAGCTACACCCTACACAGGAAACTATACTCAACACAGGAGGCTACACTCAACACAGGAAACTACACTCCACACAGGAAGCTACACTCAACACAGAAAACAACACCCTACACAGGAAACTGTACTCAACACAGGAGGCTACACTCAACACAGGAAACTACACTCCACACAGGAAGCTACACTCAACACAGGAAGCTATAATCTGCACAGAAAGGTACACTCAACACAGGAAGCTATAATCCGCACAGAAAGCTACACCCTACACAGGAAACTATACTCAACACAGGAGGCTACACTCAACACAGGAAACTACACTCCACACAGGAAGCTACACTCAACACAGAAAACAACACCCTACACAGGAAACTGTACTCAACACAGGAGGCTACACTCAACACAGGAAACTACACTCCACACAGGAAGCTACACTCAACACAGGAAGCTATAATCTGCACAGAAAGGTACACTCAACACAGGAAGCTATAATCCGCACAGAAAGCTACACCCTACACAGGAAACTATACTCAACACAGGAGGCTACACTCAACACAGGAAACTACACTCCACACAGGAAGCTACACTCAACACAGAAAACAACACCCTACACAGGAAACTGTACTCAACACAGGAGGCTACACTCAACACAGGAAACTACACTCCACACAGGAAGCTACACTCAACACAGGAAGCTATAATCTGCACAGAAAGGTACACTCAACACAGGAAGCTATAATCCGCACAGAAAGCTACACCCTACACAGGAAACTATACTCAACACAGGAGGCTACACTCAACACAGGAAACTACACTCCACACAGGAAGCTACACTCAACACAGAAAACAACACCCTACACAGGAAACTGTACTCAACACAGGAGGCTACACTCAACACAGGAAACTACACTCCACACAGGAAGCTACACTCAACACAGGAAGCTATAATCTGCACAGAAAGGTACACTCAACACAGGAAGCTATAATCCGCACAGAAAGCTACACCCTACACAGGAAACTATACTCAACACAGGAGGCTACACTCAACACAGGAAACTACACTCCACACAGGAAGCTACACTCAACACAGAAAACAACACCCTACACAGGAAACTGTACTCAACACAGGAGGCTACACTCAACACAGGAAACTACACTCCACACAGGAAGCTACACTCAACACAGGAAGCTATAATCTGCACAGAAAGGTACACTCAACACAGGAAGCTATAATCCGCACAGAAAGCTACACCCTACACAGGAAACTATACTCAACACAGGAGGCTACACTCAACACAGGAAACTACACTCCACACAGGAAGCTACACTCAACACAGAAAACAACACCCTACACAGGAAACTGTACTCAACACAGGAGGCTACACTCAACACAGGAAACTACACTCCACACAGGAAGCTACACTCAACACAGGAAGCTATAATCTGCACAGAAAGGTACACTCAACACAGGAAGCTATAATCCGCACAGAAAGCTACACCCTACACAGGAAACTATACTCAACACAGGAGGCTACACTCAACACAGGAAACTACACTCCACACAGGAAGCTACACTCAGCATAGAAAACAACACCCTACACAGGAAACTACTCAACACAGGAGGCTACACTCAACACAGAAACTACAATCTACATAGGAAGCTACACTCAACACAGGAAACTACACTCTACACAGGAAATTATACTCAATACAGGAAACAACACTCAACACAGGAAGCTATAATCCACACAGAAAGCTACATCCCACACAGAAAGCTACACTCAACACAGAAAACAACACCCTACACAGGAGACTATACCCAACACAGGATGCTACACTCAACACAGGAAACTACACCCAACATGAGAAGCTATACTCTACACAGAAAACTACACTCTATACAGAAAATGAAACAACCCTGCTTGAGAGAAACCTGAGAAATCCAGATCCACACAAGTAGAAAAAGGGTCATGTTTATTGACTGGAAGACTCACTATGGTGAAGACATCATTTTGCCCCAAACTGGCCTGTAGGGCCTCTCCTCTCCCCAAATCCTCTAGCTGAAATTATTAATCTATAGTATGTCTGTGTTAATTCATGTATTTAAGTAAGCAAGGAATAGATTTGTCACAAACTAGTGAAGAAAATTTATGATTTAACACAGAGTAATTATATTCATTTCACAAATGACTGTGACGTGCATACATATATTTTCAAATGAGCATATCAGTCAATTACACACATCCAGAAAAACAGGATTGAAAGCAAGAGTTTCTGTGTGTGCTTTTGCACTTGAATATTCCTGACACTTGAATAATGTAAATCTACTTAAGAAAAACCATGTATAAAATGTCTTAAATTTAAAATAATATCAAACAACTAAACCCAACTACAGTCATATCAGTAACATACTAATGCCAACATACACACTCAGAGATATGGTCTGTTTGGAAACACCATGCAGACCAGTATTTTTACCGAACTTTCTCTGTGGGATGCCTTCTAATGTTTTTTTTTTTTTTTTTTAATTTCTAGGAGAGAGAGAGAGACAGCGTGAGCAGGGGAGGGTCAGAGAGAGAGGGAGTCACAGACTGAAACAGGCTCCAGGCTCTGAGCTGGCGGTCAGCACAGAGCCCGACGCGGGGCTCGAACCCACGAACCACGAGATCATGACTTGAGCTGAAGTCGGAGCCTCAACTGACTCCGCGCCACCCAGGCGCCCCTGTGGGATGCCTTCTAAAGAGCAAGTGACACACGGAGATTTCAGTGACACAGCAATTCTAATCATCATAGGGCATGTGCCATTATTTGAAATTGTAGGAAAAAGCAAATAAGTAATTTCACTAATGATATTTGTAATCAGGAATTTTCTGGGTAAGACAAATGAGACACAATATAGCAAATAAAATAACTGCACACACTACTGTTCGTTAATAGTAATGGTATCTGGGTGGTATAAATATGATCTAATTTGATCACATTTCACTTGTTTCTACCTTCTCATTCTCTTTTTTTAAATTTTTTAAATGTTTTACTTACTTTTGAGAGAGAGGGAGAGAGAGAGAGACAGTGCGAGCAGGGGAGGGTCAGCGAGAGAGGGAGACACAGAATCTGAAGGAGGCTCCAGGCTCTGAGGTATCAGCTCGAACCCACAAACCATGAGATCATGACCTGAGCCGAAGTCGGACGCTTAACCGACTGAGCCCCCCAGACGCTCCTACCTTCTCATTCTCTATAAGGCACACTTAACCCCATCCTGACTAGCACACGTAACGAGTATATCCAAGTTCAGATACACAACGGGCGCTCGCACTGTAGCTCTACCAGAAACGACCGAGAATGGACTTGCTACCAAACAAGGACTCAGCTGTGCTGGGCTGTATTTAGTGTTTGCGATTCAATGCACAGGATGTGTACGTACAGGTGGTTCCCCGAAGACCCACTCGCAGGAGAATGTTTGGGGTGGCGGTGCAACCACGACTTACTTTTTCATCTGGTAGTAGCCCTTCTTCACGGTCCCGAAGTTGCCGGAGCCCAGTTCGTCCTCCTCCAGCATCAGCAGCTTGCGGTCTAGGTAGACCTCCTTGGGTCTGATCTCCTCAGGGTCCGCGTAGGGGCTTTCGTACACCTCGGTGTCCATGGGCAGGGCCTCTCTCTGGGCGTCTGCGGTGCGGTCAGAGAGGCACAACCTTGGGGCTGGCTCCCCGGGGGAACTCCCCTCATCGCCTGCTCCTGCCTCCCGCCCTCGCGCCTCCGCTTTGCAGACCTCGGTCACCTTGCGCGAGTACGGTGCCAGTGAGCGCTCAGGGCACCGCCTCATCCAGTTGGTTAGTGGGCAGCAAAAAGCCCCCCGTCCCCCTTGGGCCTGACCCCAATCTCACAAGGACATGCATGGGGGAAGGGCCTTTCATGCCAGAGGCAAACATTGGGGGGCCTTCCTTCTGTGTCTCAAAGTTCTGACACTTCTAATGGGGGTGAAGTCCAAGTCACGCTCCCTTGCCCCCACTGGCTTTTGTAACTGTGTCAACCAACAGAATATCCTGGAAACGGCATCTGCGATACACTCGGATGAGGTTATAAAGGACCACAAACTGTCTGCACTGTTGGCTGGACACCTGGCTCTTGAGCTGCAGACACCACACAAGGCGTCCGGCCGTCCTGACATGGCACACGTGGTGACACGGATGCCATCCCGCCCCCGCTGGAGATGCCCACAGAAGCCCCCATACAAAGCAGAGGCCAAGGTGCCAGCCAGCCTGTGCCCCAGCTCGCCTGGCTGCTGCCTCCCACACTGCCAATCATGCCCAGTTCCCGGACCCAAGGAGACCCTTAAACAACCACTTTCATGTTAAGCTGCTGGGTTTGGAGGTCGTTTCTGCAGCAATAAATAGACCAGCCAAGTTCACCAATAAAAATATAACCTGGAGGCACACAGACGACCCAAGAAGGGCTCCCGCCTGTGAAGACTGGTCTGGCAGAAGCTGCTGGGCTCATGGAGGGTGTGACTTCCAAACTGCACCCTCTTATGGTCTCAGAGTTCCTGTAATCCCCTAAACGCATCTAGAATTCCAGCAACACAGACCTCCTTTCCGTCTGGACCAGCCACACGTTCCTGCCCCTTCTGCTGAAGCGTGTTCGTGGTGGCGGACACACACCTTCCAGGGACGCACTCACTTTCCAGGGACGTGCACACCTTTCCAGGGATGTGTACACCTTTCCAAGGACTCACACCTTCCCAAGGACAAACACATTCCAGGGACGCGCACACTTTCCAGGGATGTGTACACCTTTCCAAGGACTCACACCTTTCCAAGGACACACACATTCCAGGGACGCGCACTTTCCAGGGACATGCACACCTTTCCAGGGATGTACAAACCTTTCCAAGGATGCGCACACCTTTCCAAGGACACACATCTTCCAGGGACGCACAAACCTTTCCAGTGATGTGCACACCTTTCCAAGGACTCACACCTTTCCAGGGACATGCACCTTTCCGGGACGTGTTCCCAGGGATGCACACACCTTTCCATGGACGCGCACACATTTCCAGGGACGGGCACACCATTCCAGTGACGCACACACCTTTCCAGGGACACACACTTTTCCAGGGTTGCGCACACCTTTTCAAGGACACACACTTTCCAGGGACATGCACACCTTTCCAGGGACACACACCTTTCTGGGACGCGTTTCCAGGAACGTGCACACCTTTCTACGGACACACACACATTTCTAGGGACTCGCACACCTTTCCAGGGATACACACTTTTCCAGGGACGCGCACACATTTCCAGGGACGCACACACCATCACCACTCCAGGGACGCACACAGCTATCCAGGGGTGCACACACCTTTCCAGGGATGCGCACACCTTTCCAAGGACACTCACTTTCCAGGGACGCGCACACCTTTCCAAGGACACACGCTTTCCAGGGACACGCACACCTTTCCAAGGACGTGCACACCTTTCCAGGGACACACACTTTTCCAGGGATGCACAACCTTTCCAGGGACGCGCACACGATTCCAGGGACACCCACACCTTTCCAGGGACGCACACACCTTTCCAGGGACACACACCTTTCTGGGACACGTTTCCAGGAACGCGCACACCTTTCCACGGACGCGCACACATTTCTAGGGACTCGCACACATTTCCACGGACGCGCACACATTTCCAGGGACGCGCACACATTTCCAGGGACGTGCACACCATCACCATTCCAGGGACGCACACACCTTTCTAGGGATGCACACACCTTTCCAGGGATGCGCACACCTTTCCAAGGACACACACTTTCCAGGGACGCACACACCTTTCCAGGGACGTGCACACATTTCCAGGGACGTGCACACATTTCCAGGGACGTGCACACATTTCCACGGATGCACACACATTTCCACAGACACACACTCTTCCAGGGACGCGCACACATTTCCAGGGACGCGCACACCTTTCCAGGGACACACACCTTTCCGGGATGTGTTCCCAGGGATGCGCACACCTTTCCAAGGACGCGCACACCTTTCCAGGGACACACACACCATTCCAGGGACGCGCACACCTTTCCAGGGACACGCACACATTTCCACGGACGCGCACACATTTCCACGGATGCTCACACTTTTCCAGGAACGCGCACACATTTCCAGGGACACGCACACCATTCCAGGGACGTGCACACTATTCCAGGGACGCACACACCTTTCCAGGGATGCGCACACCATTCCAAGGACACACACTTTCCAGGGACGCACACACCTTTCCAGGGATGCGCACACCTTTCCAGGGAGGCGCACACCATTCCAAGGACACACACTTTCCAGGGACGCACACACCTTTCCAGCAACGCGCACACTTTTCCAGGGACGCACACACATTTCCAGAGATGTGCACACCTTTCTGGGATGCACACACCTTTCCAAGGACACACACTTTTCCAGGGACATGCACACCTTTCCAGGGATGCACACACCTTCCAGGGACGCACACACCTTTCCAAAGACGCACACCTTTCCAGGGACACGCACACTTTCCAAGGACACGGCCTTAGAGACGTGAGTTGGTGGTACCATCCGCACAATGAGGTGAGCCCTTCTGGAGCAGCAGCGTCGAAGAACACTTGGAGTCACCGAGAGGGAGGCCACAGAGACTTTCCTCGCACCAGAACACCAATGTTTGCAGGCAGGTGACACCCGCCACTAGCTGGCAGCCTCACACACCATGAGCTGATGCTGAGTCGGGGTGACTTGGCGAGGCCGCTCACCGCTGGCGGGGCGGTGCGGCGGTGAGTGGCCGGTGACCTACTATGAGTGCGTTTCTCACCTCTGTCCGTGGGCCAGGGCCCCCGGTCCGGCTCATACGGATTGAAGGTCACGGAGCTCTCTGGCCGGCTCCCTTGGGACGATGTGGAGGCCTGAGGCACACAGATGACAGCAGGTCACTTTCCTTCACGGACGTGCTGTCAAACTGATCTGCACAATTACTTTTATTTTCAAAGAATCACATTTGAACGTATACAGAGAAGACAAATGACAGAATTGGGAAGAGAGACAGAAGAAAACCACATGGCTTATCTCATCCTTCGGGCAGCTGCTTGGACCCCGCCAAGGCTCAACGGAGCTGACGCTCCTGCATAGGGTGCCTGCTCACAGACCCTTTTAAATCACTTCTCCACCTATCAAAAGATCCCCCTTTCTTTTCAGTTTTATGTTCTGTAAAAGTTATTTAAGAAGAAACATTGAGGGGCTCCTGGGTGGCTCAGTCAGTTAAGCGTTTGACTTCGGCTCAGGTCGTGATCTCACGGTTCGTGAGTTTGAGCCTCACATAGGGCTCTGTGCTGACAGCTCAGAGCCTGGGGCCTGTTTAGGATTCTGTGTCTCCCTCTCTCTCTGACCCTGCTCCCCCCCTTAAAAATAAACATTAAAAAAAGAAGAAACACTGAATATCTCCTGTTTCCACCCCGTCCCTGATCCCAAAGCACCTACACAGTCCTAGTTTCTGCCTGTATTTCACACCCCACAGAGATCTAGCCATGTGTGGGGGACAGGCCAGAGGGACGGCAGCTGCCAGCGAGCTAGTGGTCTCAAAAGGGACGTGGCTGCCACAAGCCAGAGCCCAGTGCTGCTAATCATGATACTAATCACAGGCCCTGTGCGGGGGGGCGGGGGGGACAGCCTGTTTTGCGAATCTGAAGGAAGGTAACTGCCTGGTACCCTAAGCAGGTAACAGAAAACAGTTCGCTGGCTGTTATTAATGGCAACTACCCTATTATTTATTTGATGTATGTTACTTTGCATTATGAAATCAGAGGGCTCGGGGAAGATCTACCCCTTACATCCCTATCAACCTCCGTCTTATAAGTCTCTATCTTCAGTCTTCCTGGCTCACTCCACCCCCTCAACTTAAAACACGGGTATTGCTAGTCCATTTGGTTCATGGGGGAAAAAAATCACAATTCAAACCTCTTCTCTTTTTTTTTTTTTGTTTTTGTTTTTGGTGTGCGTCCAGTAGGGGTTTACACACCCATTAACCTCATGGACCCAACAGTGGCCGCGAAGAAATGAGATACTGCCAGATTTCGGAGCGGTTTAGAGAAACAGAGACATCAAGCTTACTTTTGCGTTGCCACTTATCTGCGCCACACAATGCGTCCTCGCCTGTCCCCCCCCCCCGACATCATGTGACCCAGAACCACAAAGACAGCAGTGGAGTCACAAGGCACCACGGCCACCCCTCATCCCCTGTTCTCCAAAACCTCGACCTCTCATCCACACTGTCTACCGCGCACCATAGACCCCCTGCTCATGGTGGCAAAGGCCCTGGCGGCCAGGCTGCGGGACACCCGCTCTCATGCGCCAGCCTGTGGCCCTGGCTCCACATTCTCCTCCGACCACAGGAGGGGTGCGGCGTGTCAGGAGTGCAAACCGAGGCACAGCCTGTGTCCCCTGCACCCAGCTTCCCCGTGCCCACCACCGGTGCCCAGTAAGATGTGCCAGACACGTGCCAACAAGTGAATGAATGTGTGAATGAATGAATGAATGAATGGAGATAATGTTTTAAAACTGAGAGATGTGAAGAATGAGTCAGTGTGATTTAAAAATGATGTAGGGGCTCCTGGGTGGCTCAGAGGGTTAAGTGCTATCTCTCGATCTTGGCTTTGGGCATGATCTTACATTTTGTGAGTTCGAGCACTGTGTCGGGCTCTGCTGGGCATGAAGCCTGCTTGGGATTCTCTCCCTCTCCTTCTCTCTGCCCCTCCCCTGCTCGCTCTCACTCTTTCTCAAAATAAATAAGTAAACTTTAAAAAGAAGGAAAAATGAGTTCTCGCTCAAGTCTTTACACTAAGGGAGGGAAGGAGGCGTGGACAATCCCAAATGACAGTCCGCCTCTTTCAGAAACTGGTCTGTGCTCACAGGACACCTGGACGTCCTGAGAGTCCACTTCTCATTTATAAGGTTATCCCCCCGGCTCGACAGAACCATCCGAGGAGAGACTAGGATCCCCCAGGCTTCCCTTCCCCGTCTGCTGAGATGCACTCAAACCCCCAGGTGGAGGGAGTGCTCATTTTTTTTAAAAGCATCTTTTGGGTTTACGTTTACTGTCCTTGCAACATCTCTGACCTTCCCTGCTGGTGGGAAACTCTGAGATCCAAAGACGAAACTTCAAGACACCAGGACCCACCGTCAAGGGCAAAACAACTTTCCTCTTGACCTTGAGACCCGCCCCGTGCCCGCTTAGGAACAGCGTCCTGGGCTATAGCTGCTCCGCCCTGAGCGAACGTCCTTGAGAGCAGCGGACGTGAGAAAGGCAGGATGCAGTTCCCCCACGAGTGAGTCCTGCGGGAAGGATTCCAAAGCAGAGGGGGGTGTAAGTGACGGGGACACCCGGGCACGAAGAGCAGGTGCGGAAGGCCACAGGGAGCTCACGCCCCTGCTCTGTCTCAGGACAAGGACCCGGGTTGGGGTCTCCCTCGGAAGGGCAGGCAGGCTCCTGTTTGCAGAGGCGGCCGCATAGACCACCGCTCCATCAGGAGCCTTCACGGCCTGGCCGAGCCCCCCGAGAGCCTCGCTAACCACATGTGCTGCGTGGCGGGGCCCCCGGGCCCCCTCGCCCTCGCTGGGGCAGGGGACGATGCCCTGGAGGATGCTCCTTGGAGGAAACCGGAGACGTCCTGTTGTGTCAGTCACAGCGCGGCCGTGACGCCGGGATGAAGGTAAAGACGTGAAACTTGTTTCACGTCCCCTGAAGTGCTCGAAGGATATGCTGCTTAGTAGGACAGCGCCAAACGCCCTCTGAAATCGGATGGTCACGGTCGAAAAGAATTCAAAGACTTTGTACAGAATGGGCCCTCAGGCAGGATGCGAAATTATAAAAGTATTGATGAGTGTTACAGTTTAATGAAATTTTAATGAAAAGCCTACTGCGGGTCCATTATATCACTTATGATTATTCTCTGTGCTTCACGGTTGATGGCTTATTCTGCCCTAATCCGCATCATCGCCTCGTCTGCATAGAGAACAGGTGGAAATGGAATGCTGGCTGGTGCGTTTTCCCCACTTTTGCGGTCATTCCGAGCAGAGCTCAAGCCCGCAGGCCACCACTAGATGGCACTAGCTCCCTGCCTGTCCTATGTCCCCAAGACCAACTGATGTGTCTTAAAGTTTTACACATTGAGGTAAAAACAGGTCACTCCACAATAATAAAAATAAGACCAACTTAGGTCTTAAATTATACCCCCCTGATCTCTTACTGGCCAAGCTTGACTGCAAGCGGGAATGTATCCCACAAATACTCGCTGGGCGCTTGTGTTTAGATGGGGATTCAGAAGTGAACAAGAGTAAAACTATATCGTCCTCACAGTGCCAACAGGTAACCCAGCTTCCTGATCTGTGTGTGGTGCTGGGTCCTAACCTTAATCGGTTAGACTCCTTGACGGGCACGATCAGGCACAGCAGTAGTAGAGGTGGCCGCTGTCTGTCCCTGGCAGGGACCAGGGAGGGGCTGTAGGCTTCAGAGCCGTCGCAGATGGGGCCCTGGTCCGGTGGAGCGACCGCAGTCCCAGTGGGGAACAGGGAGGGACCCACAGTCGGGCACACTTCCTCGGCCAGGGCACAAAATGATACCAAATTTGCTGCAAACCGACACCTGACCTTCACAATGAACCCTCTCTCACCCTAGAAGCAAAGGTCCACAACGTGGCCCTTGACAATGACGGGCAAACACATTTCCCCAAGGGCCTGGCGCACCGCTCGGGCGTTAGCGCGTAAGCGGGTCTGACTCCACAACTCCAACTCCTGTTTCCTGCTCTCCTTCTCCCAACTCAGCCCCAGTGAGCTGTGATTTAAATACGAGCCTTCAAATACTCCAAGCATCAGTGCCGGGCTGGGCATGAAACAGGGGTTTCAGTGTGAAATTCCGGAACACATTTCCACCGTGGTGAACATCAATGCTGTGTTGCGTTTTTAGGGAATGTGCCTTCGTGATACGAGGCTGAAGTGTTTTCTTTTCAAGATAGCTGTTGTTTGGACGCTGCTGCTTCTCCGTTCATGTACTCAGTGAAGCAAGACGAACATTCTGGGGTCTGGTGGTGCGAGGGACTTCGTGCATCTAAGGATTTCCAGTCTTTAAAGTAAGTGCGTGGAGGGGTGGTGAGAGGGCGAATCATTTATATTCATAATTTAACTTTGTTCCTATTTTTAGGGACTCTCTAAGGAAAACTTTAAATATCACCGCTTCTAAGTTTTTATTAGGAAATCTCTAATATCTGATTAACAAGCTTCTTCAAGTCAAAACACCTTTTCATTAACCACCCACATGCTAGAATTAATTCAAGTTCTGACATGTACGTCTATGCCTGAATTATTAAGAACAGCTACGTATATTGGCTAAATTAGCAAACTGAAGAGTATCATTTGCACCTTATCTAACCAGATGGGGTGTCTGACTTAATTCCCCTAAGCCCCCTCTCCTGACTGCTTAATGGATAGAAAATTCCTCTTCTATTCATGAAAACATAAATACTAGCTCTCCTAATTCTGAACAGCGACTAAAATACATTTAATACATAACTTAAATCACACAGTGCATCTCTACTGATATTTTTGGCATCCATGGAAATTCAATGCCTATTTCAAGAGTTATAAATTTAAATAGGCAACAGCCTCTTTTTTTTGCAGAAAAGTATTTTCATAGTATTAATCTGATTAATTAGTTTCTTTTTAAAAAATGTACATTTATTTTTGAGAGAGAGAGAGCATGAGCAGGGGAGGGGCAGAGAGAGAGACACACAGAATCCACAGCAGCTCCAGGCTCTGAGCTGTCAGCACAGAGCCCAATGCGGGGCTCAAACCCACAAGCTGTGAGATCACGACCTGAGCTGAGGTAGGACGACTGAGCCATCCAGGTGCTCGAGATTAATTACTTTCTAATATTTCTCTTTTTAAAAAAATTATTAAATAAATTCAAGAAGTACAAATTTAAAAAGGCACAACAGGGTTTATAATGAAACATGAGTCTCCTGGACACCCCTGTTCAGTACCCACAGCAACTACTCTTACAGGTGTGTTCCTGTATTTCTTCCAGAACATCCTAAATTCTATCAGCACATATTCGTTGCTTGCAATTAACGCTGTATTTTGGAAACAATTCTAGACATCAGCTGTCTCTCATAGGATGAGTCTTATTGTGACTGGTTTCTTTCCCAGTGATAGACTTTTAAATTGTTTCCAGACCTCGTCAGTTATACAAATGCTACATAAACACTGTCATGTATTCATGATTATGCATCAGTGTAAGACTAATACACAGCTAGAAATAAAACTGCAGCTAAGAAGTCATATGTGCTTTTAATTTTGATGGATGTTGTGAAACTGCCTTCTTTCGAGGCTGGATCGCTTCCAGCGAAGTGGGGGAGTGCTTATTACCACACCTTCTCTGCACATCACAGAGAGGGTCCATTTCACAGATGGATAAAACAGGGCACCAGAGTTTCAACTTGTGTATCTCTTGTTATGAGATGGAGTGGCTTTCCCTATGCTTACATTTTCCTATGTTTTCCCTAAAATATAAATATAAATATATTTGCTTTACTACAAAGTACCCACTGACATCCTCTGCCATTAGCCAGTTAGACAGTTAAAACTTTTATTGGCTTAGAAAATTTCTTTATATTTTGAGGACCTTGGCCTTATATCTGTGTCATTAAGAATACCTATTCCCAGGTTTTTATTTCCTTTGATGACATGTTTCTTATCCATGCATGTGTTTCTTTATTTTTAGGTAGTCTTACAGATATTTTAGGTAGCCTTAGTGATATATATTAACAGTTTAAAAAAAGGAGACATGTTGGGGGCGCCTGGGTGGCTCCAACTTTTGGTTAAGCGTCCACCTCTTGGTTTCATCTCAGGTCATAATCTCCCATTTTGTGGGTTTGAGCCGAATCGAGCACTGCGCTGACAGTGCAGAAACTGCCTGGGATTCTCTCTCTCTCTCTCTCTGTCTCTCTCTCTCTCTCCCCCTCTGCCCCTTCCCTGCTCCTACTCTCTCTCTCTCTCTCTCTAAATAAAAACTTTAAAAAAGGAAAAGAAAAAGGAGACATATTCCTTTAGCATAAAGATCTACTAAATCTTTCCTGGACCTCTCCTTATTCACTGGCTTCAGCCTGCTTGGGACAGGGATGGGGTGGGGGTGAGTCTTGTCTCCTCACAGGCCGGGCTACAGTTTCCTGGGACGATGGCTTTTGAGGTGTCAACATGGCTAGTCTGAGCTCTAGTCCTCCATTATTGAACCAAATTGTCACCTTGGGGCAGCTACGGAGGGGTTCTGCAGGCGTAATTAAAACCCCTAATTAGTTGATTTCAGTTTTTCCTGGGTGGGCCTGGCCTCATCAGCCGGGACGCTTTGGGGAGAGCGGAGGCTTTGCCAAGAGACGCAGAGAGAAAGGTGGAGGGCGGACTGACCCCCGGCAGTGGTGACCGCCTAGCCCTGCCCACAGGGCCCCATCCTGCCCCTGGTCTTCCCTTCCTGCTGGTCTGCCCTACAGACACGGGACCCGCTTATTCAGCCCCCATAATTGTATGAGGCGAGTCCTTGTGCCAAACCGGTACAGGTCGCATGCAGGTGTACAGGCGTAGAGATGTGAGCGGATGTAAACATGTATGTACTTGTGTGTCTGTTCTGTCCACAGACCCCCACCTGGTCGTGCTCCCCTGACTGAGACCACCCCCTTAGGAACCGCAGCACGAGACACACATGGAACGCCGTCTGTCTACAGCAAAACACCCATCTCTGGGGCCGCACGTGGGCTGGGGGAGTTGTGCTGGCACATATGGAATCACGAACAAACAGATCGTGGCAGCCGGCGGTGTGGCCCACGTCCACAGGGGTCCCCCACGGCCGCCAGGCCCTGTGCGAGGAGGGGCCACGGAAGCCAGCGAGTGAGGGGTTCTGGGTGCCACGCGTGCTGCCCTGAGCTGTTCTACGAAGCCCTGTCGGTGCAGCATCCGATTAAAAACTCTTGCCTCTTGGGGCACCTGGGGGGCTCAGTCAGTTTAGTCCCTGACTTCGCTCAGGTCAAGATCTCACAGCTCAGGAGTTTGAGCCCCACATCGGGCTCTGTGCTGACAGCTCAGATCCTGGAGCCTGCTTCAGATTCTGTCTCCCTCTCTCTGCCTCTCACCCGCTCATGCTCTCTTTCTCTCTCTCTCTCAAAAATAAACAAATATTAAAAAATTTAAAAGGGGCGCCTGGGTGGCTTAGTCGGTTAAGCGTCCGACTTTCGCTTAGGTCATGATCTCACGGTTCGTGGGTTCAAGCCCCACGTCGGGCTCTGTGCTGGCTGCCAAATCAGAGCCTGGAGCCTGTTTCAGTCTGTGACCCCCTCTCTCTCTGACCCTCCCCTGCTCACGCTGTCTCTCTCTCTCTCTCCTAGAAATAAAAATAAAAAAAAAATTTAAAAATTAAAAAAAAAATTTGCCTCTTGTGTTTGACCACCAAACCCCAGTAGCAAAGTCACAAAGTTGAACTTTGTAATTACAGACTTGAAAAAATGACTGATGGTTATTAATACACACCTTGAATCAGAATCTGCTTTGCCTCACCTCGATCAACGGGTGCCAACTGGCCCCATCAGCAGGAAATACTGTGGGACCCCAGGTCTGGGAGCCCCCATGTGAGCCCTCGCCAAAGGGAAGAGACAAATGCCCAGGCCATTTGGGCCACATGGCGGCAGCGGGAGAGTTTTGCTGGGGAGCATGGGGGATGCCAACCTCTTCAGGGCCACAGCCTCAATCACATGCTGGCCTGGTGGCTTCTAGCAAACACCAAGCAGTGTGGCAAAGGGGGCATGGGACACAGAGAATGTGTCACCTTGACAACCTGGTCCCCGACTCCTAACATGCCACCCTTAGCACAGGCAGCCCCGACTGTACCCCCCTCCCCAGCACTGCCTCATCCTAGCGGAGGTTTCCTGCGGGCTGACCCACGCTTCCCGGGCATGTGACATTCAGACAGGCAGCCACCCCACTTCACTCAGCTCCATCGAACATCACGTTCAACTCCCCTCTCTGATCTGCGGTCAACGCTGTTGAGAAAAGCCGTCGGTAGCACGGCCCACTTGGAAAATTCCTCCTAAATAAAATCTCAGGCCTTTTACGCGTTTTCAGTTCTGCAGTTTCTAGCAGTTACTTTACGCAATTTGCATTATGTGTTGATGCCCAATTGTATGCTGAAACGTTTGGGAAAATGCCAATTGATGTAAAAATGGAAAGAATTAGTATGAAAGAATGAATTTTCTACCACCAATGATAAAAGTATAAAGAAAAAAAGCAATGCATACATATTTTATAGACATATATGCATACACACCCATGCCTACATATATACACATATATATATATACACATGCTATATATATGCACATGCATATATACATAGATGATTCATTATAAATAAAAATTATTTTTAAAAGGTGGCTTCTTTCCCCCTCATCCAGTCACACGACCAAATGTAAAAACACATCCTATGTCAACCTTACTGCCCCAGAAAGAAAAAAGGGTGTTTCTAATCCTCAAATGTCCATGTCTGTCTTCACACATGTTCTACCTAAGGTTCCGTGCTGGAAGCCCATAGCCATAATGCAAGTACTGTGGCACTTGATACCCACCAAATACATCGTTTTAGGGGCTAAACCCTCGCAGTCCCTCCCACCAGTATGAGATTTGTCCAATCAGCTGCTGGTCCCTCCTGCCAGTATGGGATTTACCCAATCAGCTGCCGGTCCCTCCCCAGGATTTATCCAATCAGCTGCCAGTCCCTCCCCAGGATTTATCCAATCAGCTGCCAGTCCCTCCCACCAATATGGGATTTACCCAATCAGCTGCCAGTCCCTCCCCAGGATTTATCCAATCAGCTGCCAGTCCCTCCCCAGGATTTATCCAATCAGCTGCCAGTCCCTCCCCCCAATATGGGATTTACCCAATCAGCTGCCGGTCCCTCCCCAGGATTTATCCAATCAGCTGCCAGTCCCTCCCCAGGATTTATCCAATCAGCTGCCAGTCCCTCCCCCCAGTATGTGACTCATCCAATCAGCTACCACACCTGTAACAGGATTCTGGCAGCAAAGGCACTTCGCGTGCTTTGAAAAGGTTTCCTGACCCGAGGCGCCCACCTTCCCCGTCGACCCGAGTGACGTTCAAGCGCACATTTAGCGGAGACGGCACGCACGCTCACGGGCTGGACTTGCGGCAGGGCCCGGGGCCCACGAGGAAAGCACAGGAGGCCGGGAGCGGGCTGCCCACCGGGGCTGCACACGGCAGACGCGACAGCAGAGCAGCGGGGGTGGGGGCGAGGGCAGCGCACGCGAGGGCAGCGGGCACCCGAGCAGGGGCGCCGCGAGCGGGCCAGTCCTACCACTCAGTCAAGGACCGCAAGCAGGGCACGCTTTAGCACCTTTCTGTGGCCAGGCTTTGGGAAGGAGTATGATTTGATTCTTGAGATTATTCCACCCGCTGACCATGTCTAGAAACCATAACGGCAGAGAGGAATAGTCAATGTTTCAGAAACAAACACGGGCTACCTTACATGACATGCTACTTTGACTTGCTTTACAGTGAACACTGCCAGCCCCTCCACGATCCACTAAGAGACTCAGTCCCACAACAGTGGGTCATCCGGGAGGCTTCAGGACAAGCCCAGCACTGAGCAGAAGGATCTGGAAGGGTATCGTAATAGTTTCCATGGAGAGCTGTATAACCAGGGCTGTTACAGTAAAGACTTCCTATTTCCCGTAGATTACTAAATCACAAGCTTGAGACTAATCATTCTAAAGAAAATTAAATCAGATGATGCCCAATATTGTTACATCTTTTGGGTGCTGGTTCCAAGGTCTTTGTGGAAATTCACAGATTAGGACACACAGGGCATGTAGTTTTTTGTGGTTGTTTTCTTCTGTATGTGTCTCACCAGTCAAGGAAAAGATTTTCCAGAATAGCTAACTTTCTGAAGCTACTGGGTGAGGCACAGCTACATACAGGCTTGATATTCTCTTAGGAGCTCTCAGCCCTGCGCCCTCTGTCCATGTCAGAGGAGAGAAATCTGTCTCATGGATCATACATGTTCCGTACGTGTTCCAGGAGACCCTCCAGGCCCAGGAGCCGGTAAAGCATAAAATAACATGATCACTCCACAAAGGCACTATATTTTAGATGCTGGGGCCAAAGTTCACTGGTACTTTAGCAAATTCCGAATCCCCACAAACGGTGACAGCTGTGGGCCCTGAGAACCTCCCTGCTTCAACCCAGGCACAGCCGCTGGGTGGTCAACGGGCCTCACCAGGGGTAGAACGTCTGTTCTGCTTTCTGCAGATTTTGTTCTTTAAGGGTTAACAGGCAAATTGGGAGACGTGGAGCACACAGCTCAGGACGGGGGGGATTTTTATACTTTCAAGGACACCAAAGGTGCACACAGAGCCCCCAAAGGAACAGGGCCCAATTCCTGTCCCGAATATAAATCTGTGTGCCAGCTTGGAACAGTCTGGAGGCAGGAGACGGGCAGGATTCTCTCTTTAGGGGCATGTGCTGGGCAAGCCCGTGTGGAGGCGTGGGGCAGGTGACATTCTCACCTCCTGCTGACCGGAGGGAGAGGCCAGTTCCCGCCTTCTCTAGGGGCTTCTCTCCTCTGATGTTGTGGAGCAGCCCAGCCCCTCCCCAAACCTCATTCAGCAAGCTACCATCAGACCAGCTCTCCTGAAAGGTCGAGTCTTCTGAGCACAATGATTTAACCAAGAGAGTGGGGCAGGCGAGCTCAGAGACCTCTTGCACACCAGACTCACTACAGTGACCCGCACACGGTCTCGGGGATCGTGCGCATGGCTCCACGCAGACGGCTCGGGGCTGTGCCAAGGCTGCGTGTGACCACTTCTCAAATCCACCAGGAGGCGTAGTTCTGATTTAACACTGGGTGTCCCAGTCTAACCTACAAAGAAATGACCCTGGCTGGCCTGGAACTAAAAATAGGCTGATTCTAGCTGACACTCCCTGGTCTCAGTTTATCAAGTGTGACAAAAGCAGCAACGCCCTCTATGCTTAAGTGCTAAACCATGTTTTCCTTGCGCTAACCTATGGTCCCTTCACCCAAGGGGCAGTTCTAGTAACACTTACCGAAGGATGTGGACTTGGGAGGGCTGCCCGGGCTCCGAAGTTGATATTTCCTGGGTAGAAAGAGTGCGGAAGGTTAGGGCTTAAACCCCAGGAGATCCATGACTGCCCCCGCCCCCGCAGACAAACAGCTTGACTGTCCCATAGTCCTGCCTGGGAAGCCATTTCTCTTGGTCTTCCCTCCAACTTTCCCACCCCCGCAGTTAGAACCAGTGCGTTTTCTAAGAAAGTTATCAGCTACATTTTGATGAACTGGACTGATCCAACCTCATTTTTTGTCGATCTGTAAAAACAAGGCTCCATCCCACCTGAATCTGGGATGGGCCCAAAGGAACATGAGGCTGGTTATCGTCAACAGAGAAATGGAGGCTCCCACATTAGGGACTCACCTGTCTGCCCGCCAATTTTCTGACACGGAACTGTCAGAACTCTTAACAGTCCATCTGCTTTATAAGAATAATGCTCCACTAGCTGAAAGAGAAGAAAGTAAGAGCCATGAATAATAGAGGCAGGAAATGGATAAATGCCATCCGGAGCAGCCAACTCCCCTTTCACACCTTAAATGTGGCTCGAGGACAATAAAAGGTGCTTCCTCCCCATGCCCCCTCCCCCCAGCCTCAGATCCTGGACAGAAGTCCTCACACCACCTCCCCTCTGGACTTTACCTCAGTCTCCCCACACCCCTGCACCCACCCATGCACCCACCCATGCACCCACCCACCCATCCATCCATCCATCCATACATCCATACATACATACATACAACCATCTATTCCACCAGCCCTTCCTTCCTTCCTTTTTTGGTAGCAATCTCCATTTATTTATTTCTCCTACATCCATACGACATTATAAAAACAAATCCAGCATGCAAATATTTCTTCCTTTATTCAGTCATTCAACATGCTGGGCCCCAAGACAGGGCCAAAGGCACACAAACATGAATGAGACACATTTCCCACCCCTGAGATGCTTCCTCTCTTGATGGAGAGACAAGTAAAGGAATCACAATGTACTATTAATTATTGATTAATGCTGTATAAGGGCTATGGACAAAGGCTTTGGAGAGACCAAGTCATTCAGCCCAAAAATTTCAGGGAGAAGACACCAGAGCCAGGATCCGAGGACAGGGGGCCTTCCAGAGAACGACCTTATGTTGACAGAATGTGGCCATCCTTGGCTAACGGCTCCCAGAAAACCATGACTCATGATGTCCAGTTGGTCCATTAACAAATTAATTAATGGCAAATAAATTTATTTATATCTCCCCAAAATTACACACTAAGAAAACAGTCTTGGTATTTCATATTTTCTTCTCTCAGACATCTCTTCTTCAGACAACCTAGAATCTTCGTTTCTGGCATCTGTTCCTTATCTGTTTATTGGTAACTTTTCCAGTTAAGGACACTGCTCTTGAATTTCCTATCCACACTTACCTGCTTGAGTGAATGTTTGTTGAATGAATATATATATATATGTAATTTTTTTAAAGTAGGCTCCCTACCTAAGGTGGGGCTTGAACTCACAACCCCAAGATCAAGAGTCACACACTCTACCGAATGAGCCAGTCAGATGCCCCTAAATGAATATATTTTACCCTTCTAGGAAGCATTCTCTTTTTAAGTTGTCTTTTATTGTGGTAAGGTCTACCTCTAAACAGATGCTTCAGCGTGATCAGCCCTAAGGCGCTTCTGATAGACACAGGCTCTGCCCCTTCCATGGAATGTAACAGCGTGTCCTTGGGCTGACCGTATCGAGGTCCCTATACCAGCGAGATGTCCCATCCATCTTTCCAGTATCATGCAAATATCTTGTGTTTTCTGACACTGTACTAGGTAAGGATGCTTGGGAGGTGGACTTGTGTGTGAGGAGGTGGGCTTGTGTGGAAGGAGCCTCCCAACAATTAGACACGGCTAACGCTGCGGTGAGAGAGGCTGCAGACCTTGGCACTGCGTGTGAACTCACACAAGGGAAACAGTCATTCCGGAGAAGTCCAAGGCTGCGTCACAGCCACCGGGCACTCCAGCAGTAGTGCTGGCAGACACCCGGGGCCCTTGTGTGCACACCATCATGATTCTTGTAGGAGGTGAGAGACCCTGGTGGGAATTAATACCCACCAGCAACGCCGCCTACTCACCTGTGAGCTGCACTGGGCACGCGTACCTGGTGGGCTGAACTCTCTTGCAAACTGGTGCAGGAGGTTAAAGCAGAGAGTGCTCAATAAGGAGCCACAGGCAAATGGGCTGCAGAGCAGACGACGCCAGCATATAACTGACGTGACTGAATACACTAACGTCGGCATTCGGGAAAGAGCTGTTTCTTCTCCAGCCCAGCATTAGGAGCCAGAACACGTTAGGTGATAGTTACTGTGTTTTCAAGGAAGGAGAATCTCTTCTGCTGGGTTTTAAATGGGTGGATTTGGGGTGGGGCCCTTTCCCGCTATCAGCACACGTGAGGTGCGGGGTGTGGACCTGTGGACACAACCCTCATCGTGTTCCTCACCCACGAAAGCTCCATGTGGCGGCCACTTGGGCCAGTGGAGCCCCTGAGGTTTCTCCGCTGCTGGACCCAGCAGCTCACAGGGTGACTGCATGAAATGACACGTGTGGCACGGCCACGGCCACGGCCACAGCCACGTGTGGCTGTGAAGGAAACGAAAACCAGCGGTGTGATTCCGCCTCAGCCCGCTGGAAAGCGTGAGGCCGTCAATTCCCTGCTCCTCGGTTCCTCTGTGTCTCCCAAGTTACGAGCCGTTTTGAGGTTTACCAACAGTTGGGTGGAGAATTATCCCTTTTCAGACCAGAGCTGAAAAACCCCGAACCATGCAGGGACCGCCCGCCTGCCTGCTGAGTCTCCTTAATTTCTAGAGACTTCTGCAGCAGCAAGCGAGCACCTGACACTTTATATAGAGAGAAATGCCCCCAGTCCCCAAGGCATGGCCTCCTGTTCGCCTCCGAGCACAGCCCCCTGGGGGACCTCTGCGGCCCCAGACTCTCTGGAGCCCGTGACCTGACATCCCCGGCCGGGCGTCCAGGCGCCTGAGGGCTGAAAGGAGCCCCTCCCGGACCCAGGTGGGCTTCCCCCCCACCCCCCCGGAGGGCTCGTACCTGCCACAGCGTGTCGAACTTCTTCCCGTCGGGGATGGACAGCTTCCCCGTTTTGTCCTTGTCGATGCGGTAGTGCAGCACCTTCCCCTCGTGCAGCAGGCACAGGGCGTAGGACCCGTTGTCGTTCCTGTCCCGGATCCTGCAAGACGGGACGGCGCGTCACACCCACGCGTGCCCCGCGTGCAGAGAGGCCCGGCCGGACCCCGAGGCGGGCAGCAGGGGAGCCTGCGTTCTGTGGGCAGGTCTCTGTCCACCTGGGGCAGCCCGGCAGGCCACCGGCACAGGGCCCACAGGACACAGAGAGTCTCCACACTCACCGCTCTTCCTCGGGGTCCGAGTCGAGGTCACAGCCCCAGAAGCGACAGTACCTGCCGCTGGCTGGGCCCCGGGGGGTGGGGTGAGGGCATGGATGTGCTTGGCAAGCATTTTACTTAGGAAACTTCCAGACCGCAGATGAAGGGGGTGAGGGCCCCCTCTTCCCAGGGCCTTTTGGGCTCTGGCATTTTCTGCAATGAGGAAACGAAGTCCCCAAAACGTTTAGCGCCGTGCCCCAGCGCGCCGGACTCGAGGCAGAGCTCAAATGTGCCAAGCTACGTGGCATTTCCACGCTGTGGGAAGGTTTCAGATGGCTCCCTCCGGTTGCGAGAGGTCACATCCCCGAGATGGGCTTTGGAAACAGATGTGGTCACGATCCCCCAACTGCGGATTCATCCCCGAAGGTAACTGGACACAGAGGGCTGAGCTGGGCTGGGTGGGTCTGGAAGATTCTTGTAAGAATAAATCTCTTGTGGAGTCACGCTTGGCCGAGCATGATGGCGGGTGTGGTCTGCACCCCACTGCTCGGGGCAGCTGGGGCGGGTGCGGGGACACACCCAGACCCCCCACGTCCCCAGCGGAGACTTTCTGCACTTGAGAACAGCTCCTTCCTCCCAACCCAGCCAAGCCACCACCACCCCAGGCGTGAACCTGTCTTCACAGCCCACGGCCAGCTCAGGCCTATTGGTTGCTGTCAAAATAAAAACCAACCACACCGAAGAGGTAAAACCTATCTTCATAAGGGAGGAGAACGAGGTCTATTTTATAAGAAGCTATTTCATAATGTGGAATGTGGGCCTGCTTGTATTTTATTTCATAAGCATTAGTGGCCAACAGAAAGGGTGGCTTGGAGGGACAAAGAAGTATGTGAAGTGAACGCTGAGCCTTAAGAAGTTACGCACAGGCACACGAAAGGGGGCCGCGGGAGGACGATGTCCGTGGGCCCTTCCAAACCATCATTCCCCTTGACTTACAGCCTTTCACATCTTTGACCTCAGGGTCCTGGGAACAAGAAAAGGGATCCACACTCTGGTGTTCTGGATGCGTGCCTAAGCTCCACTGCTCCACCTGGCCTGACGCCGACTGAGCTCTTCTTGTGAAAACCGAGACAGAGGATGGCAGATTGCCCGGGGAGCCGTGCGATCACCCCATCCCAATAGTCTGGGAAACACGGAGTGAGACCACTATGGAGACCCCCCCTTGGGCACCCTTCACACTGGCAAAAATGAGAAAGGTGGATAATACTCAGTGTTCCTAAGAGCAGGGTACCAGGTGCTGTCCATACGGCTGGGGGGGGGGGTGAATCTTGTTCATTTACTTTTGGGGGACAGTTTGGAACTCTCCACGGAGCTCAGACCTGTTCAGTCCTTGGGAAGCAGAAATCCACACTCCTCAGTAAAAAACTGATGCCCTCCACACCCGGAAAGTATGGGTGTGTTTACAGCAGCTTTATCTGTGATTGCCCCAAACTGTGAACCACCTAAGTGTCCATGGACTGTAGATTGGAAGAGTATGAAAATTCTGGGGTATTTGCATGACGGAACATCACAGAACAATCCGATGACCCGACGGCAGTGACACAGAGCACAAGTGACTCCCACGAGCATAAAACACATGCCACCATGCTGGATGCATGGGGCTTCCAAACAGGCAAGAGCAAATGGTGTGTGTAGAGATGTACACCTAGGTCCTAGGTGAGAAAACCAAAGAAGAAGAAGAAAAAAAATTTACGGGTGCGCCGGACACCAGAATCCAGGAAGTGGTGTCCTCGAGCTGCGAGGGGGAGGGCCTCCTACCACACTGGCTTTCCTTCTCTCCCCGGCCGTGTTTGCTTTGCAAGTTTTCACGGATCTGTACATAAACGCGGCGATGGACTCTTGCGCGTTTTCTATTCCATGATAAAAACAGTATAAAGAGAAATCTGGTGCAAGAAGGAGACATAGCAGGTCTTGCTTTTGGACGAGAGACTTCTCCTCCTTCAGCCCCCCCACCTCCCCCATCCCAGCCCCAGGGCACAGGGAGGAGAGTCCCTCTGTTCTGGAGCCAGGTGACATGGGGCCCGCCCACGGGGACCCGGGCGGCGACAGCAGCCAGTGCGCCCGCTTGAAGGACGGCAGGTACAGGGACGGGCAGGAGACTGGCTGGCTGACAGGCCCCCCGAGGCAGCTGGCAGGAAGAGAGGGCAGGGAAGGAAACCCACAGGCCCAACCTCCGTAGGTGGCGAGGACCAGAGGCCGGGTGACGCTAACGGCCGGCAGCTGCGAGGTGACTGCCGGCTTCGGGCAGATCCTGGGCTGGGCGAGTCCGAATCTAACACACGCGGAATGCCAGTCTGGAAGCTGAAGCAGCCCCTCGCGCTCCCCGGGAAGCTCGCTCTGCCCCAGCTCACCCACCCACTGTGGTCACACGGGACCCCCTGCCCCTGCGGAGAGGGGGAGGGCAAAGGCCCAGCTCCCAGCTCCTCTCCTGCGCTCGGGGTCGTCAGCCTCAGGCGTGTTTGTCCAGAATATTCTTCCCTGTGGGTCTCTGGGAAGAAGCAAGCTGAAAACGCACTTGTGCTTTGCTCTCACAATGCTGCGAAGGTGTCCTGGTGTTGAGGGCATGGCGGCTCTCCTTGGTGGGAGGGCAACAGAGGCCAGCAGAGCCCCCCGCCTCCCAGGCTGCGCCTCAGGCTGGAGTGGGCCGGCGGCCACCTCCCAGAGACCAAAGCATTTGGCCCGGGAGGGGTGGGGTGAGCCTCCGTCTGGCAGCCACGGCCTGGAGCAGCCGCACCCCTTGTCCGCCCTCCAACGCTGCCTGGATCACAGAGGATGGATGTGTGGTGGCAGTGCCCAGGCGGTGGTGGGTGGTGGTGGGGGGGCCCGGTTGGTGGAGGAACTCCACCCCTCCCCCCCGCCACCCGGGGCCAGGACAGCAGGGCACAGCCTCCTGTGTGGTTGCCATGGCAGCATGGAGCGCGGCGGCGGGAGGGGAGGAGGGCGGGATGGCATGTGCACCTGACCATAGCCGGGGCCAGGACGGGCTGTGCACACAGACCGCGAGGGCTCCCAGGGGCCTCCTGTCCAGGCTGGCTGCGCACTGGGTGGGGCCTCAGGCCAGCGGCTGGCCAGCCATCTTTGCGGAAGGAGAGCCGGAGGGCAGGCAAAGAGAAGGGCTATGAGGGCTGGTGCTCTCCTGGCCCCCAAAAGACACACGGAAACGCACCTTCTGGGCACTGGCACCTCGCATCCTAGCAAAGGGAGGCACGTGTGGAACTGGGTCATGCTTGTTGGCATCATGGGCGCCTTGGTCAGACCAGCGGGCTGATACTGACATCAGCCCAAAACCACTTGAACTTTTACTTCAGACAGGCTGTGCCTCAATGCCAACCTGGACCCACAGAGCCACACGCGTCAAGTAACATGGTGGCCCTTGGCCACTGATGGCGGCACCAGACAGGCCCTGTGGGATGTGGGGCTCGGGGCAGCCGCATACAGTCTCATTCATCAACGGACAAGGGCAAGGGCTTTCCTAAACCCACACTCGGCTTTCAAATTCCAGTACAAAAGAAGGGAGCTGGAGGGGCGCCTGGGTGGCTTAGTCGGTTAAGCGTCCAACTTTCACTTAGGTCATGATCTCGCGGTTCGTGGGTTCGAGCCCCGCGTCGGGCTCTGTGCTGACTGCCAGCTCGGAGCCTGGAGCCTGTTTCATAGTCTGTGACTCCCTCTCTCTCTGACCCTCCCCTGCTCACACTGTCTCTCTCTCTCTCCTAGAAATAAATAAAACATTAAAAAAATTAATAAAAAAAATAAACATTTAAAAACATAATGAATTAAAAAAAAAAAAAAGAAGGGAGCTGGAACTTGAGCGGGGAGAGGGGCAGTGTATAAGAAGAGCAACAACAACATGAGTTTGGTGTGACGGCAAGTGCCAATATGGCGCTGAGTGGACAGGGCAGCCATGGGCGCCGGGACCCGAAGAAGAAATCCTCCTCGACTCTGGGAGACAGCAGTCTGAGTCCCGCAGGATCCCCGCGGGCGCATGTCAATCACCCATGAGCTCGCAGAGATCACGAAGACATAAGGAAACAGAGTTAGGAGATGGAAGGCAGCAGGGGGGGAAGAGAGTGGAGGAGGTGGAGGGTTGAGCCCCTGAGGACTTTCATGTTGGAGCCACCAATCGATGGAAGGCAAGCTAACTGTGTATGACGTGTTCAAGGAAACAAAAGAGCGGATCACGGGGCATCTGGGGGGCTCGGTTGGTTGAGCGCCGATCCTTGATTTCAGCTCAGGTCATGATCCCAGGGTTGTGGGATTGAGCCCCGCATCGGCTCTGCACTGAGCGTGAAGCCTGCTTAGACTCTCTCTTTCCCTCCCCACTCTCACTCTCTTTCTCTATCTCTCTAAAAATAAAAGAATACAGAATAAAAAAGATGGGATTACAAAAATGACCAAGTAATAAAATACTCTACACGTGCTGAGGCATATTAGAGAAACAGCCACCACAACAAATAGAACTGCTAGAAATTTAAAAAAAAAGTCATTCATGGGGAACAAAAAAGCATCGGGGGTTCAGTTTAAAAGCAGATTAGACACAGATGAAGTGACATTTCGGGACGTGGAAGGACGGACAAAGCCACGACACAGTCGGGACACGGAGAAGCGAAGACAGAACATGAGGGGCCGTACAGAGGATGGCCCAGAAGGTCTACTGGATGTCTATACGGGCCTAAAGGGCTGAATGGAGAGAAGGAAAGCAGGTAGTATTTGAGGAGGAGACAGCTGAATATTTTCTGGAACTGATGAAAGCGAACAACCCATGACTGTAGGGAGCAGGGACCCACGGCCACCAGCAGCTTAACCCTGTGCACAGTACCTTGTTCATCTCCATAGCAACTCAGATAAACATCAGTTTCCTTCCCCACTGGGTCACTGAACAACGTGAGGTCCGAGAAGCAAATTAAATGATGTGTGTCCCTTGTTCCCAGGGGGTACAAGCGTGTATCCCTCTAAACCCTCCTAGCATCTCTGACAAATGTGCCTGCCGTACTGTGACTATATATTTTTGGAATGGCAATGTGTTGTAGTGGTACTGAAAACATCCCCATGGGGGTGTCCGGGGGGCTCCATCAGTTAAACGTCCCCCTTTGGCTCAGGTCATGATCTTGCAGTTCGTGGGTTCGAGTCCCGTGTTGGGCTCTGTGCTGGCAACTCGGAGCCCGGAGCTGCTTTGGATTCTGTGTCTCCTTCTCTCTCTCTCTGCCCCGCCCCTGTTCGTGCTCTGTCTCTCAAAAATAAATAATTTTTAAAGACTTAAAAAAAAATAAAAAGATGTCCCAGCCCTATATGCTTAGAACCCCACCGATCCTGTGTCCTTCCTTTACGGGAAGGGGATACATAATTTTTGGAAAAGAAATTTTATTTACCTTTTCTAACAAATTCATTTTTCAGGCACACCTGGGCTGTGACTGACTTCTCAATTTCTTAAAACGGCAAAGCATGTCATCCTGTGAGGCTTCAGAGAGCTCATGGGGGGCTGTACCCTCAGGGGAGCCCCGGGCCCTGGTGTCCGCAGGAAGGCAGAGCCCTGACCCCCGCTGCAGGACCGTGGCTGCGTGCTCACACGGCCTCGCCCCTGTGTGCACGCACGGGGAACTCCCGCCTCCCCTTCCTAAAAGGGCACTCACACCATCATGGTCCACCCTCAAGACCCACGTGGTCCCAGTGAGGCCGTGTGGGCAGGACACAGGACAGGGGCAAGGCTGACATTTCCTGTGGATGCGCCCTGGCGCCACGCCTTGCATGGGGAGTGGAGGTGGGGACGGAGCTGCGGGTCGTGGAGTCCCTGGACTTCTCTCGGCCCAGAGCCGTCAGGACCCTGGACCCCCACCCTCAACTCCCACCTGCCTGACCACCTTGGGCAAAGTCCCTTGTGCTCAAGTCCCCCTTAGAAAACTGAGGATTTACACTCACTGGCCATAAGGTCCTTTTTGGCTCAAGCCTTCTGCCCCCAGAAACGGATGTCCCACTATAATTCGTGCGGAGAGAAAACTGGATCTGAGTTGGCCAGTGTCTCCCAAATGCGGCCCGTAGTGGTGGCCAGGGTGCCTGGGATTTATCCTCTGCCTCTCACACTGTAGCAGCAGAGATTCACAACCTCAAAGAGGCCTTTTCAAAACACGCTGACCCTCTGTCCGTGTTCTATGGGTGGCACGGGGCGCGTGTTTTCCCAGGAGAGGGGGCCTGCCGCACTGAACCGTAATTTGAATCGGAAGTTCCAGAATGAACTCTCTAACTTCCCCATTTGACTCTCAGTGCTATTACCTAAGTGGAAACTGCGAGCATTCGGGATTTCCCACGGGTGTCCCTTGGCCCCAGCTGCCTGTGGTCGTCCAAGACTCAAAATCAGCTTGTACGCACAGTCCCCGGGTCGCGACGGCCCCCTTGTGAGTTTCTGGCTTTACAATGGAGACAGAGTGACAATGGCTCAGGAGAAACTGTACTTCAGGTCTGAAGGCGGATCTCTTCCCGGGCTGGAGATGCGAGGTAGGGTTCTCTCTGTGATGGGGGAGGCAGGCGTCACCCAGGCACCCGTGCCGACAAAAGTGTCAACCACACGGCCATTGACAGCAGCTCTGTGTGTCCCTTCGGCGTGGTGTTCCAGGAACCACGTGAAAAAGTCAGCACTTGACGGTCAGATCGGCTTCGGCCGACGACTCAGCCCAACTGCAGGCTCACCTAGGTACAGTGGGCGAGGCCTGGTGGGCTTGTTCCCTAGCATAGATGTGTTAAATGCATTTCGACTTAACGATATTTTCCATCTACAAAGGGTTCATCAGGACATAATCCCATCATCGGTGGAGGAAGACCTGTGTTTATTACCCTCCCACAAAGCGCTAGACCGTATGGGCAGCACACCGACCTGCGTTAACGTATCTTCAGTCAAGTTCATGATGCCCACCATTAAGAGCCACAAAAACGAGGTTCTGTTTCTGGACCTGAGAGCCTCTTGGGTTCTTATCATTCTTCCAGGTGCTGCCGGGAGGCCCCAGGGAGGGCGGGCCGGCCTTGGCGTCTAAGCCGGGGTCATGAAGGAGACAAGTGCCCTGAGCCAGGCAGCGTGGAGGGGGTGGGGGCGTGAGAAGCACACAGCAGGCAGCCGCCCGGAGCCACACCGTGTCCTAGAAGGGCTGGGAACAGACCAGTGAAGGCCCTCGGCAGCTCAGAGCAAGGAGGCCGGAGCCGTGTGGGGAAGGGCCAGCGGCAAGTGGGGCTGGACAGGGAACCACAAACATCAGGGGAACAGAAGGCTGACGGACATGAGGCTTGCTTGCCACGTACAGCCTCTCCTGCAGCCACGTGGTCCTAAATCCTGCCTTCCGCCTCACGGAAACAGGTGCCGGGGACCCCGGGGGACATCGAGGAACCGCGCTCACAGTGAGGGCACCTGTACACAGAAGAGACTCAGGGCCCCGGCCTGACCAGCACCAGGTGCACCGGGTGCACAGAGCACAGAGTCACGCGGGAGGGCCACACACTGCACCCACGTCCCCGTGTCCCCAACACGCATCTGCATGGTTCCGGCATTCAGGCACGAGAACGCAGACGCCCTGAAACCCGCAGAGAAACGGACGCCGCACTTTGGCTCAAGTGCTCACGAACCACACAGTGTAGGCTCTGAGCGTGCCTCCTCCCGCGGCTCTGCACTGTCTCCTTCCTACACCCAGACGGGTCCCACTAAACTTGAGCTGAACCCGCCCTGCACCCCCCTGAAGGTGGACGGCTGAGTCCTCCCCGCCAGGCCCTCCCAGGTCTGGCCCTGCGGCTCACGGCCCCCCTCCCCCCGGGCACCCACTGCACACACACCCGCTCCACGCCTCCTGTTCTGTGTGGTGCCTCTTTCTCCCACTGAGATGTGGGCTCAGGAGGCAGATGGCGGTGTGGCTCCCACCTCCGTCTCTAATGTGCAGAATGGTGCTGGCATTCAGTGCCTCCACAGCTACGGATTCTAGTGAATGCACGTTCTTGAACAGGTGAGTCAGCTGAAATGACTGCAAAGCAGCAGGACACACATTCTACGGGAAAAAGGGGACGAGGCAGGAGAAGACGCCTGGGGAAGGAACGGACAGCTGGGAGCCCCCGGCTGTCCCAGGGCGGGAGCAGGCCGCCGTCTCCGACCACAGCTCTTCCCCCGCGAGCCTGGGATCAGGCGCTGGACCCGCGAGGACAGGCCTCACTCTCTCTCTGGATTATACCCCTCGGGGCTGACATCACGCAGCCCCGTGACGTGCGTGCTGGAAATTACTCCACAGAAGATGGTGAAAGGCCAAAGCTGAGGGGGAAATGAGCTGGCCGGTGCCACACAAGGAGAAACTCTCCCTCACACGACTTCTGCCCAAGGCTGCTACTGCGCCCACTAAACCACCATTCCGGCACCCGCCGCGTGCCAGCCTGTGCTGTCCTGCTCTGGTCTGCGGAATCGCTTTCAAAACAAGAGTTTTGTGTTTAAGATCATTTTTCAAATACAAGGTATTATGGTAACATCTGAATAAAATTCTTCTAATAGATGGATACTCACGAAAGCCCTCCGAGTTCTAGAAACAGTTTAAAAGTCAGCTGGATGTGACTGCATCTGCCTGACCGTGGGGCTAAGTGCCCTCTGTAAGTCTCCAGGGTGACAGTGGGTGAGTGTCCCCTGACACCCGCTCAGCATCTCTGGAGGGTCGCTGAGCAGTGACAGACACGTGAGTGTGCCCCCGGCCACAGCTCCTCTGGGGATAAGGCTGACACCCTCCTAAAGGCAGCGCAGTGCCATCCTCGACCGCTGGCCCCGCCCCAAGGTGGCCTGCATCTCCAGGATCCTGAGTACGGAAGTCCTCAGTCACTACGGTTAACAACGAGCAGAGCGCGGGATGCACACCACATTTCTGAGCTCAGAAGGTGAAGCCCCCAAACCCGCCTGTGGTCACACCTTCCAGAGCAAACTGTTCCAACTCCCTGCAAATTCTCTTCGATTCCCTGCCTCAGAGGCAGTAAATAGTTCCAAGCAGGGGAGTCTGGGTGGCTCAGTCGGTCTAGTGTCTGACCAGCTCCGGTCATGACCTTGCGGTCTGTGGGTTCAAGCCCCACGTCGGGTCCTGTGCTGACAGCTCAGAGCCTGGAGCCTGCTTCAGATTCTGTGTCTCCCTCTCTCTCTGCCCCTTCCCTGCTCACGCTCTGTCTCTCTCTGTCTCTCAAAATAAATAAATGTTAAAAAAATAGTTGCAAGCAAAGAGAGAAGTCTGAGACATGGGGGCAGAGAGGGAACAAAGCACGGTGTTTCTATCTCAGACGGACAGCCACAGAAACCGCCAGGTGCCCCGTCTCACCGTGTAAAGCCAAGAGTGTGGCTAGGTAGCATTTCTTCACCCTCACGTGCCCTCCGTGCCCGGGAAGAGTGCTCACTCTGGGCCGGACTGGACGACAGACGCTGGGTTACGAGCAACGTCTCTGCTGGGAGCGCGTTCACTGTGGCCCCCGTGGTGCTGCCCGGTGTCGGCACGTGAGCCTTCCCCAGGACCCCGGGGGAAGTTGAGTTTCCCCCACTTGCCCAAGTGGGCCCGGCGGCAGGAGGGGACAGGGATAGACAGCGTACTCACAAAAATTTCCCGTTTGTCTTGGATCCAATCAGCACAATTTGCTCAGATTCGACGCGCGAGATTTTGCCGTGGAACCAGGGCATCTTCTCGTGGGCCGTGGTGGCGATCAGCTTCTCCAGCTGCGGTTTCTGGCTGATGATGGCCTGCTCCAGAGCCTGGCCCTGACGAGGGCGGGGGGAGGGGGGAGACAAGTACGGAGTAAAGAGGAGAAAAAGACCCAGAAATCACTTTGTAAGTCCTGACGTAATTTATTCACCAAACAAAACCAGTAAGATCCCCATAAAGGATTTGAGTACCTTCAAGTATGGAAGTAACTATATAGCATTTAGAGCTTGGCCTTTTAAAGCCGGATGGGGCTTCGGAAACCATCTGGCACCATCCACGAGGTGCAGAGAAGAGGTCCCCCGCCCTCCGTGGATCACAGCCCGGCACTACCCAGGGGGCCCTTCCTGACGGAAGCCCTGGGATGCGAGCTGCGAGGGAGACCCCTCCTCCTAGCTCTCACTGCTGACTGTCTGTGCAGGGCATGTGGCCACAGGGCGTGGAGGACGTGACCATGACAACGTGGACATGACAACGTGGAAAACACACTCGGGAGGGGCCAACAGCTGGGTGAGCTCCCTTCCCCACCGTGCCCAGTGGGAGAGAGACAGAGAGGGGTATTTTCCGCAGCCATAAATGAACACCCCAACGTGGATTATTGGGAGTTAGAAAGAGGACCAGAAGAAGTAAAAATAAAAATATAATGAACCCAGGGGCGCCTGGGGGCTCAGTCAGTTAAGCGTCAGACTTCAGCTCAGGTCATGGTTTTGCGGTTCGTGAGTTCGAGCCCCACGTCGGGCTCTGTGCTGACGGCTCAGAGCCTGGAGCCTGTTTCATATTCTGTGTCTCCCTCTCTCTCTGCCCCTCCCCTGCTCATGCTCTCTCTCTCTCTCTCAAAAACAAGTAAACATTTAAAGACGTATATAATGAACCCAAACTAGGAGGTGGAAGGGAGGAGGGAAGGCCAGCAGGAGCCGGGGATGGAAGGTTTGTCATGCCGCACAGATGGCCTGAGGAACAGAAGCTGTGAGTGACACGGTGCGTCCCAAACACAGCCAGCCGAGGTCTGAGTGCAGGAAGGAGGCAGCCCGAAAGGGTGCTGGCTGCGTGAGTCCCTTCACACACGGTATTCTGGAAAAGGCTACGATGTGGGGGTCAGATGACAGGTGGGGAGCTGCTGGGGGCTGGAGGGGCGGCAAATCCTGCCTGGGGTGGGACCCACATGGGGCTGCGTGCTGGTCAAAAATCATAGAACTGTACATCCGAAAAGTTTCATTTTACTGTGCATAAATCACCACTCTACAAATCTGCTGAGTCTGACTTAAAAAAAATAAGTAAGGCAGAAGGTCTGGGGCACATCCAATCCGTGCTGATAATGACTGAGCGCGAGTACTGCTACCTGCCTGCCAGGTGAATTCAGTGCAGACTGTAGCCAAGAGCAGAAAGCAGTCCCTGTATGCGACCTTCAGAAAGCTGTGCTGTCACACACCCGTGTGCATGGGACGGACCATCAACGTTGGACGCGTACATCCGGGGAGCGCTAGACAAAAGGCCCAACACACAGGCCCAAGCCAGACACAGCCAACCAGCCTGGTGGCTCCTGACAGCAAGTGCTGTCGATGGTGTGGTGGGGACTGAGCTGTCACCATAGGAATTAAACACACGCGCCCTTCCCTGTGGCCGCACCGACGTGCTCAGGGCCACCGCCCAGGAGCTGAGAAAGATGGGCAGAGGGACCTTACGGGCAAATTAGGTGCCCATCACCAAGAGTGTGGGAGGCACCATGAGGGACCAAGCACGGGCAGCTGCAGCTCCGTGGCTGCTCATCCAGAACGTTCTGGAACAGATCTCACGAAGCTATAGAATCAAGAGCCCACGGTGTATGCGGAACGGCCCCGTCAGGTACATGCACACAGCTGACGCCCCCAATGCCTGGCTGGAGGGGCTCCGTGAGAGGCAGGCAGGGTGGCCCGTGAGGAGGGGAGCTGTGCCCTGTGGCCAGGCAGTGGGGGGGGTAGGGCTGACCCATGCCCGGACGCCAGGCAGTGCGGGGCGGGGGGCTCACCTGCAAGTTCCAGGTCTGCTTCACGTACTCCCGGATGAGGCTCTCCTTCAGGTCCTCGAACGGGCCGGTCTTGGGCTGCACGCCGGGCGGCCGGTGGAAGGGCTTCGTGAGGAGGCAGACGAGGCCGTCGGACTCCTGCGAGTGGTAGTGGCACAGCTCGGCGGGGCTGCCGTGCGCCCTGCCGCCCGCGATGGCGTACGTGCCGTTGAGCTCGCGCTCGATGGTGTAGTGGTGCGCCTTCCTCCCGTGCGCCACCGACAGCGCGAAGCCGCCCAGGTAATTGCGGCTCTGGCGCAGCAGGTACAGCCCGTCGCTCATGCCCCCCTGCACCAGGTAGTCCTCCGCCTCCTCCCGCGTGATGTTGCCGAAGAAGAAGGGCAGGTGGTTGGCGGTGTCGGCCCCCACGCCTCCGGCCACGCCTCCCGCCATGCCCGCGCCTCCTCGTCCCGGGCCAAGGGCCCACGGGGTCCTCCTGGAAGAGAAGACGGGACACCGGTCAGGGCTCGAGCGGCGAGGGCGGCAGCTGGGCCACCGGCCCTGCTTCACCCTGGCCAGGGCCCCCCGCCGGGGCCGAAAGCTCTTCCCTCTTGGGACCTGGGGTCCTCCTTCCCCTCCTTTCTGTGGGATCCACTCCCAGACACGCCCTCTCAGCGCTGAACCCCAAAACAGCATGGGACAAACGTGACCCAATTAACATCTTTTTCTGGTCGGGACAGAGAATTCTAAGACGCGCTAAAAAGAGCAGTCCCGCTGCAGGGCGGCCGGCCGGTGGACAGGACAGAGCCCCGCAGGGCCTGGCCCGGCACCCTCTGGGGACGGGGACAGCGGCAACGGACACGCGGTGCTGGCCAGCGTCACGTGCAGTGAAGGCGCTCCTGGGCACCCGTGTGCCTGGATGCTGGGTCTCGTGCTCCTACTGAGGCAGACACCGGGCAGCTCAGGTGCCGGCCACGTTCACACCCCGTGTACGGCCGAGGCAGCGGGCACCACGGCCCACGTGCCTTCGGCCTGGGCAGGGGGAAGGGCCAGCAAGCCGCTGCCCTGAGGCATGAAGACAGACAACCTGCCCGTGCCCCTGGCCACGGATGCCACGCTGTCCCCTCCCTCCTGGCCTTCTCCAGGCCACATCCAGGCACCCATCACGCACCATCTGCACGGCCGATACTAAGGACACAGTGCAGGTTCCACACTGGATGAGGACATCTGTCACAAAGAAGCTGCCTCTTGCACTAAGCGGACACACACTTCAGGAAGGGAGTGTACGCACTTCTAATCGGGGGCGTGTCTTCCCTCGGTCGTGCTTGGACATGAGAAGCCTATATGTGTTGCCGATTCCCCAAATACCCAAAGAAGTGTGTATTTTAACCAAAGGGGCCTGTCACCCATGGAGAATTATCGAGGTGACCCCACCTGTATATCTAGGGAGAAAAGCGCGTGCCCCCGCATGTTACACTCAGATGCACACGGTCACACACACACGATGATGTGAGATGGCTTGGCCACCGCGTGGCTTTTCCTACAAGTAGCAGTAAAACATCAGAGTAACTGCCTGGGCCGCCTGAGGGCTCCGTCGGTTGAGCACCTGACTCTTGGTTTCGGTTCAGGTCATGATCTCATGGTTTGTGGGTTCAAGCCACTCGCCCAGCTCTTTGCTGACAGTGCAGAGTCTGCTTGGGGGTCCTCTCTCTCTTCTATGCCCCCACCCCAAAAATAAACTAAAAAAAAAAAGTATCTGTCTGACGGAGGTAACAATTTTCTCCAGGCAACGCTGCCAAATTTGAGTGAGCCTCTGAAAAGACCTCAGTTTTATGATAATGTAAGGATATAAACAGTCTTCTAGCTTCCTCTTCAGCACTGGATTATCAACAATTAGTTTTTCTTCATCCAAAGTTTGCTCGGTTACATACAGTTTACAGTTGCACGTAAGTCTAAGGATGCTATGGACAAAAACACCTCTCTGGGAAGATGCGTCTTTTGGGGGCAATTTTTTCTCTTCCTCATTTTTAAGAGAGACAGAGCACAAGTTGGGGAGGGACAGAGAGACAGAGAGAGAGACTCCAGGCTCTGAGCTGTCAGCACAGAGCCCAACACAGGGCTCGAATTCATGAACCGTGAGATCATGACCTGAGCTGAAGTCGGGTCCTTAACCTCAGGCACCATATTTTAAACGTGAACGAATACTTTGTAATTTACCTAAATCCCAACAACATAACTAGCATTTTCAAAATGCGTCATCTTGTTACTCTGGACAAGGGTGCTGGCTCTCTGGCAGGTAGCACTGGGAAGGACTTGGACTTGGCATCTGCTGGCCCGTCCCTGATGGGGGGGATCCTGAACAGTCATCTCCCAGCAGGAGGCAGAGAGGGTGGTGTGATGGCCTGGCTGTGCTCTGCGTTAGCAGCCACACCCCCAACTCCTAGACCCCTCACCTCCACCCTGAGGGTGTGATCTGTCACAGGGACACTGCCTGGGGCCCTGAGGGTGGATGCATTTGGCCAGTGGCCTGGGGGGCGGGGGGGGGGGCGCGGCGGTGTCTGACAGTAGAGATGGCTCCTGCAAGAACAGCTTAGGAGCTTAGGACACATTCTTGGGCTGTTTGGTTTGCGGGAGGAACATCCGTGATGCCCTGTCCCTGAGCCCCCACCACCCACCCCGTGCCTTCTCCTGGTCTCCACTCTCCTCTGCACAGCACAGGCTGCCTCGTTCCAGCCACTGTCCCATGAGCTCATGGCCACCCTGCCGTTCTCGGCCCTGCTTTTCGGACACCAGCCCTGGCTCTGAAACCCCAAGGGCTGCGCCTGTGCACTTGGCCTCCGTCTGGGCCTCTCCTGCGCTGAGCCGAGGACCCGCGGTGGCTCCCCACTGTGCACCCTCCTCCATGTGCCCTTCGACGCACCCCACCCCCACCGCTGCCCAGCACCCACTGACCCCAGGGAGAGTCTGCAGCTCAAAGTGTGTTTAACGCCTCCGGGAGAGATTTCTCAATAGTGCCTGGAAACGCTACTTAATTTCTGTCTAGTTCAAGGCTCCCAGTTCTTTTTCGACACGTGCAAATCTACTTTATGCAAAAGCTCATCACTGAGAAGCAAAGGGGACCTTTGGACCCCACACAACGGACCCCTGAAGCCTTTCGGACCTCGGCCGGTACACATCTGCACAGGTGGCTTCTAGTGCTGTGAGGCTGTGGGGTTTGTCCGGCGAGCTTCCAAACCACAGCATCACGTGCTCCTCGGCACCTTTTTAGGACACAGGGTCAAAGTGCGTTTCATATTACAGATGTTTTATGACAGGAAACCATATTTTGTGATGCCTGCGGCAGCATTTCCCCCTTTGCTGATTAATTCCTCACCCCAGGGCTCCTCCGCACAGGTGACCACCCCCCCGGGGCTCCTCCGCGCAGGTGACCATCCCCCCGGGGCTCCTCCGCGCAGGTGACCGCCCCCCCGGGGCTCCTCTGCACAGGTGACCTCCTCCCCACTCCCCCCTACCGGCATGCCCGCCTGTGTCCACTGAGCTCCTGACCTGAACTGCTCACCTGACGTGTCCACCTAAGTGTCCGACAGGCAACTCAACCTTCATGTTCCCCCCACGGGGCTTCGGTTGCTCAGGCACACCTGCCCCCCAGCCTGTCCTACTGGGGAAATGTCACTGACCCTAAGCAGCTGCTGAGGACGAGGGTGCGGACCCCGCCCTCTCACGGTGCACTAGTCTACATTGAGTCAGAAGACGGCGTGCTGGCTGTCAGCTGCGTCCATCCCGCAGGGCTCAGCGGGCTCCGTGCAGGAGGCTGGCCCCGGTGGTCTCCAGGGGTCTCTCATCAGTTTTCCTTTAAATGCATCCCGAAGCCACAGCTTCTCGCCGTCTCCCCTGAAGCCACCCTGGTACAAGCCACCAGCTCTCGTGCACGTCGGCGGCTCTTACCCATCCTGCCCTGCTCCGGGTCCGCTCCCCGCGTGCCGGGCACAGGGGTGTCGGCAGGCCATCTCCCTGTCCCCGGCTGCCGCACGGCCCCCTGGCTGGTCTTCTCAGGCCACGTCACCTCCTCCGAGAGGCACAGGCTGACAACATGCTCCCATTCATCTTTGTCCCGTGGAGGGTTTACTTCCTTCATCGCACGCACCTCCGACCAGCTCTTCCCACCCTCACGCGGGGGCTCCAAGTGTTGACCTGCACCGCCGACACCCTGCGCCTTCCCAGCGGCTCTCAAACTGCCTGCTGAATGGAAACACGCTGGTCCCCTGTTCGCAGTTTCCGCGGGGGACGCGCGCTGCGCACACGACACAGACTCCCCAGGCGCCTGCTGCTTTGCCCGGCGGCCGGAGTCTCACCCACTCCCTGCCCCGCCTGGCGCAGCCGGGCCCCTGCCCGCCCGCAGGACGCCCGAGCTGCTTCCCGCCTGCCTCCCCAGACCGTCCAGGGCTCGCCCACTTGACGCTACCTCCTGTCCACCATCCTGGTCACGGTTCCGCTTCACCCAAGACCCTCTTCAGAGCATGGCCACCTTGGAAGCCGCCACGCGGGGGTATACACACGCCGGGGCCAGGCCACTCCAGGGTCTGCACTCGGTGTCCCCGTGTGACGTGGGTGGCCTCGGCACACCAGGGTTCACGCTGGGCTTCCGGCTAATGAAAGCGGCCCCGATCACACGTCCCCACCCTCGACGCACACGCTAACACTGCTGCTTGTCCCTCACACTCCCGTCCATGTGTCACCGACGCCGCGGTGGCTCAGGGTTTCCCAACGTCCGTTCTGGGGCTTCTTGTCCAGGACAGGCCGGCCTCCGCCGACTGGTGCCAGTAGCACACCCGATTCCCCGACTGTGACACGATTCCCCACATGTTCCCCGGGGGCGATGGCCCCCGTGTCCCCTGACTGAGACCACCGCGTTCCCGGTTTGCGCCTGCTCACAAGTCCGGCGTGTTCCTCCCGCTGCAGCGGCACCCGCGCCGACACAGGAGACGTCCAAGGCTCCCCTTGTGTGATTCCCTGCCACCATCACTGTGAGCAAAGGGCAGGGAAGGCGGGAAGAGAGCGGAGTCCCGGGGGCGTAAGGAGCCCCAGCGCCACGCTTGCTGGCCCCCGGCCGCACGACTCAGCACGCGGCACCAAGCTCGGGCCGCTCCCAGCGCCGTCGGCAACCAAAGGCACAGAGAAACGCAAAACCATGGCGCTAAAGGGACGTGAAAAGGACCCTTGTGTGTAGTGTGAGCCCCACACGGAGGCAAGGCGTGGCCTTATTCAACCTCAGCTGGGGACAGGCCGTCAGGACACTCACACCCTTCACCACCCGCGTCCCCAGGTGACCACACGGACCTGGTGAGGGGGGCTGGGGGCTGCAAGCACGCTTCAGCCAGAAGGCCAACCATCCACGTGGAACCTGTCAATAATGAGGATTGTGGTTTCTCACCCCCCGCCTCACCTCTACCTCACCCCCAGCTTTACCTCTACCTCACCCCTCACCTCTACCTCACC